GTCGTCTTATATGAAATAGAAATGTTTCCTTTTTAAAATCGATGATTGATCTCTGTCCCTTATTGTACTCAGATCTTGTGGCCTATACTTATCATCTTCATAAAATGTGAATGTAAATAGTATAATAGCCCAATCAATGAAAATAATCACAGGTAAATTTGCAGTTCTTCTCTGTACTGCCTTAACTGAGATCGCGTGCTTAAGTTATATCTGTCGCGCTTCAATATCAGTACAGTTTTATTCCCCCAATTATAGGAGGTAGCTGAACAGCTTTTAATTTCTAATCCCCTGGAAGCTGAGCTCTTGTTTTAATGACTCATACAGTCTATGGATTGTGAGTATGTATCGTTCACTGCGTTAACAGTTCGATTTTAGATCTTATTCGAACCGGTGTTGGATGTATTTGATGTGCAAATATGGTTGCGACGAACGCAGGTGCCTCGTAGTTACATGCAGGTGACTCTTAAAATCGGGGAGGAAACAAACGACTGGTTGAAACAGGTGGAATCAGGCAGCAAGAATAACTTATTTCCGGTCATAGATTATGACCCAGTTCGACAGTATCTTGAGGAACTGCAGGTATTACTGGTGATACTCGTATGACTGCTTTTGCATTTCTTATATTAATTCAGTTCACTGATCTGTTTTTCTAGGAGTCATTTGAAAAATTTGCTGCTTTTTTCTATGACCAGTATGGAGGACAAGTTATAGGGGTCCTGTGGAAGCCGCAGTCATTAAGTGATGTGGAGTTTAAAGTAAGCTCAGTGTTTCATGTTTTATAAAAGTAATTTTTGTAAAACAATTTTCAGATATCGAATCTGAATGGCCGGATGCTTAAGCGAATAGGAAGCAGCTGCAAAATGATTTTCAACGTACCTGCAATCGTAGAGAGCTTCCAAATAATGGGCAAGGGTCTTGTGGAAAACATTGTCATCAAGCCAGTCTAGTCACAACATTTGCCTTTGGTAATCGGCTGTGTAGCCGGTGCGTTCGAATGTCGTGATACAAAGTCGCATGGCTTTGGCCTTTATTTGGTTTTCGCGACTCATGATTTAAACTTGCATCAGTTTGTTTTGGACGTTATTCGATATCAGATGTAAAGTATAGTTACGGCAGAATTTTTCACAGCAATGATTTGTCCTTACATAGATGCGTAACATAGTATGCGAAAAAAGTCATTTTATTCCTTCTGACAGAAAATTTCATATCGTAAACGACAGTTTTTCCAGTTGGTTTCTTCGATCTTGTTTTCTTACTGCTTTTCTAGGCAGCGATAAAGAGGTTTTTAATGTTTTCGAAGTTTAAAGTTTACTTGCTGATTTTTAATGAGCGATCAAGAGGATCAAGGCAATTGCAGCACGCATCAGAAAGCATGGCCGTATATCTCGCAGGTTTTGATATGACCACGCCAAAACGCCATTTCGTCTGCATTATTCGCAGATGGGAAACCCGCTACTTGTTTTTTGCTGATGTCACCGAAGCACAGCATGACAAATTCTTTGCTCAAGTAAATTAATAGTTAATAAGAGAAAATTTAAGCCCCTCTTGTGGTTTGAACCTGGCACTTTCAAAGTGCAAATAGGTTACTTATTCACTGCTCATTACGGACTCATTGACACTTCCTTCCCTCACATGAATGTTACTCCTTGCTGTTACTGTAACTTTCTCTTGATTAGCAGACGTCGAAGTTGAGTTTATAGAACCGAATTCAATAAATAAGTACAAATAACGCAAAAATCACGGATAGTGATCTTAATCAGACGAAACTTCCGAGGTGAAATAAACTACTGCGGTTAAATTAGGATTTAGCATACGTTCTTATGGTCAGCGAAATATATTAGCTGAACACTAGCGTCCAACAGGCATTAGCATTGC